CCCAGTCAGGATCGTAATCCAGGATTATTTCGAAGAAGCCCACACTCTAATGAGATCACGGGACTTACGGTTGTGAAACTGACATGAACAATGAAGGCAAACGAAGTACCTATAATTCCACTATTAATTAATTTTGGTAATTTACTTTTGTGAATCACAACGGCAATTAAACGATATCATCACAGCCCAGTAATGTTGCTACACTTAACGTGTAAAAAAATGTATAGAAAGCATAACATCTGTTGACCTGCAATCATCATTTTCTTTGTGCGCTTCATTATAGGTACATAGGTACCGTAATTAAATGGTAGCCATGTGCTGCTTGCTCAATTTAAGAGCAAACAAATTTCCTCTGGCTCTACTGATTTTCTAAATGGTTTGCGAACGTAATTGCTTAGGCGCACACGTTCTTTTCTGTTCTGTCATGTTTAGCAAAATTTATTAGATTAGGTACATTTTATGTACATACGTATATGGTTACAAAGTCGGGAAGAGTCTAATTTAAAACCGCTGGAGAAGCTAATTTTTTATCTCTTAACGTCTAAAATGCTTTTGTTGCCCATATCTGAACCGGTGGATAACCTGTTGCCGCAAATAAAAAAAAATGTGCAACTGTTTAGCTGTACCGTTTGTAATATTGCACAAGATGTAATTGAAGGATTAACTGTGAACTTTTAATTATTTCTGCCGACTGCGAAATATTGTAAATTATATAGCCAACATGCTCTCCTGTTGGAGAAGTGGACCACAAAAAATGGAATTCCTAGTTTGGAAGCTAATTGTTTTTCCATCTACCGTTTTGCAAACGGGGTGTTTTGTACTCAAAAGGCACTGTTAAGGTCGATTCGCATTTTGTAACAGTTTTAAAATAATATTAATATGTCTGTCCATATTTCAATTTCCATCTGTATATTTTCTAAATTTTCTCGAGTCATTGAATGCGACCAATTTCTAGTTACTTTTGCATTTCTGTGTTTGCCTCTTCAATTTAACTTGTCTTTTTGTCGTTAGAGGACATTTAGTTTGTCTTGCTTTTTTTATGTTAACCATTAAATTACCTTATATGGTCACGTATCAAATACTGCTCTACTATTCGTCATAGATAACTAGCCGTAGCTTTGGCTTGGGTAAAATTTCGAAACTTGTAGCGTCTTCCAGCAACCTGCAATAGAATTGGTCGTGGTAAATTCCCGAATTTGGGTGTTTGATATATTTTCCAATGGTCGAATTGATTTAATACTTAGCGGAAGCATCTTTAATCAATCGATTACCCGTTGTGCCGACAATTTGCTTTTGGGGGGAATTGAGGTTACCGATGTTCTTTTTTCTATTGTAGGGAAACAAATACCGACCATATACCTAGTAAATTTTGAAGTCATTTGGGACGTATCCAGTTCTTTTCTTTTTGGGTACTCTCTGAATAATAGGTTAGCATTATTGTGGGTTATAACGTAGTCGTAATTAGGTTACTTTTTAGAGTCTTTGCTAGGGAGTTAATATTCAGCTGAATCCGGGGAAATAATCGGCCTACTGCAGATTAGTGTTCTTTAAAACATCCCGTAGAACGTAGATCGTGAGAGAAATATACCTGGAGCACAAGCTTTGTTACCTCCGTAGGAGTTATTTTTGGTTACACCAGGAACCTGTGTAATAGTCAGAGTGCCTGCTGACATAAAGTGCTATTTATTAATACCCTCCTGTAACTTCTTGTATCGCTTCATTATGGCGAGTCTACCACTTTTTCTATCTATGAAATTTTTCGTACTCGCGGCGTTTCTCCTCCATTTCTTTTCGAAAATACTAAATTTTATATCGTACAAAATTTATAGATACTGTGTTTCTAAAAAGTTTAATCGAAAGAGAACCTTGTAAAACCCCTGAAAAAACAATTGTCGGACAAAAATGTTGGAGCGTTAAGGGTGTCTACCGAGTGAAACGTGCAAAAATAATTACTCAAAAAAATTTATAGATATCCAGCTGATATTAGCAACATTTCTTGAGAATTATGTCTATGATGATATTTTAACATTGTCCGACCAAATACTTATACTGATTTTGCAGTCCGACGCGCGAAAATTGACATTTTTACGAGGACCAAAAATTTATTAATACTTGTCGGACAAAAAAAAATTAATATCTCTGAGGAACGTACTTAATACGTGGTACAAGTGTCCGACGAATATATCGTAGCCAAGGTAAGGTAGTAAGTAAAGAGTAAGGTAAAGAGCTCATTACTACGATTGACTTCAACACCTCAAGCTACCGATTATAGTACATCATTTCAATTTTAATTTCTAGTAATTATACTTGTCGTTGCTTAGCGGTACGAGGTGTCACATAAGTTCAGGGGTTGTTGGTGGGTTAATTTTTGTGTTAATAGTTCATGGGAGGATTTCATTTTTTTTTTCATACTCTGGTTAATAAATAATAATTTTTCTTGTGGGTCAATTGCTGACTCTTTTTATTTTGAAGCTACCTTTTCTAATTCCGGTGGCTGCAGATAAAATTGTTAGTGGAATTAGGTGGCGCCCGAAAGACTTGAATCGAAGCATCTGTAAGTATTAGTGGCGGAGATTTACTTGACTTTCTTTGACGTGACGCTAAGCTAATGCTAACGTTCTTCTATTTAATCTGAGCATGATTAGAACAGATGCTCCAGAATAAAAAATACAATCGCAACCATCCTAAGAAACGTAAACGTACAGTGTGAATTGGCAGCAAGTAGGTACGTGACGTTGCCGATCCGTTACGTGACGTTGACGTTCCGTAAAATGCGAATCGACCTTTACTCTCTGTTTATCAATTCAATTGGAATCCCAAGGTAGAATTTTATTTTGCTACTAGATATTCCTTCGCGATTTCGTACGTTCGATATTGACGGATATATGATAATGGAAACCCAGCGTACAAAATCACAATACATCGGCACGGTACGACGCAAGTGAGTTGGCGCATGTACCGACTGGTACACAAAATAGCAGAGTGCGACATAAACGTAAAAAGAAGTTTTTAAAAAAATCCTGGGAAGAGTTCAGTAACGTACAGAAGAATTTTCTATATAAACAAGATGTCGTTTTCTTTTTATCCGAATGTTAATTCCGATCTTATTAAAAATTTGAGCAGTGATCTCGGCAGTGATTTAATTGGAATTTATGGAGTTGGATTGAAGCCATCGGCTCTTTCAGGTTTATAAGAATTTTAATTCATTGTTATGATTTTATTGTTGTATCGGAACCCAGTTGTGCTCTGAGAGAAAATTTAAAAAGAACAAGGAAACTAAATGGTGTAATTTGAGCTAGATAGGAGGTGTCTAATTGGTAGAGTGACCGCATACCATTGCGCACAGCAGCATACAATTCTGCTTATGGCCCTTGCGCAGTCTGACGGCAATAGGTAATAACTTTTATGTCTTACTAACCTATCATAGCACATTTTATATCTGTGATACGCGGGCATAAAGTACCACTTTATGCCCTAGGGCATTAAGTATCACTATAGTAACTCATTCAGACTTAAGACTTAATGACAAAACAAACAAATATTTGCAGGTCATTGAAAATTAGAAACGTCAATTGTTAATTGTCAATACCTACTAAATCACAAGATTGGCCTTATTTCGTATAGTTTCTGGAACTTCTTGCTCATTCACGATGAATTGAATTATTTAAAATTACGTTTGACGTTTGGATGGTTTCAATCACATTAACAAATTCGAACCACGCATACTCGATCAAACATAATGAATTATTTTGTAAACGAATTTTGACGAAGAAAACTATTTGTATGACATAAAATTTTGTATGTACCACGGGCATAAACTAATGTTTATACTCTCGGGCGACTAAAAAGCTCTCGGCCCATAGGCCCTCGAGCTTTTTAACTCGTCGCCCTCGAGAATATAAACATCACTATTATGCCCTTAATACATAAATAACTATTATTTTTGTGAATACCTTGTTTCAACCCTCCGTTTTCCAACATACATAATTTCTCCATTACTACTTAGTGGTACAATCGATATACAGACATTCCGTTCCCGAGATATTCGCATTTGAATTTCTATTTCGCATCAGGTATATAAGCCGTATTTTTCATGAAAACTACGCTTAGAATTAGTATGACCCTCTCCCTGAAAGCCTTTGTTTTGTGTTCATTTTGGAAACTGTATTGCACTGCACTGCAAATTAAAACCCCAGCTTCCGAACTTCGGTAGGTAATACCACAGTCTAGTTTTGTATCGAGACTGATGGTATTTCTTTACAAAAAGAAAACTCGGATGTACGTGCTTACACACGAAGTACCTACCCAGTCGATAAAGGGCGGTGAGTTTAAGTGCCTCACATCTCCCCTACTGAATGCGTCGCGACGCATCGATTGTATTGCACCCCATCCGAATCTGCATCAACACTCTCAACGTTAACTTTCCAGTTTGCGTGAGGGTTCATTTTTCGTGCACGATATGAGGTTGAGACTTGAATTAAATTTCATTAACCGACGCCGTACAAGGGTCAGTTGACATTGATAAAGATTTATTTTAAAAAAACTGCGTGTTCATAACTTTGTGTCGCTTTTTATGAGCAGGCAACAAAATTGAGCACGCGAGGCTTCTATCTAAAGTAGCCTGCAGTGGTTTACAAATTGTTAATGTTATCTAATGACAGTAAAACAATCACACACTCTTCCTGAATGTAATTGTAAGTCATTAGATACATAGTTCCCAAGATTCTAATGCAATTGGCATATCGTATTGGGTAGAGCTAGAGAAGTAGGTAGTAGGTAGAGAATTTAGGTCAGGGATAATAACATCGATGATAGGTTTCTGATCGAATTCGTCCACCCTTTTGCTCATTAAATATGCATTACGTTTATTTTTCCTGTTTTATATTTCAGCAACACGATATGCATTAAGACGTAATTAAAGTAGGTACACCCTGCACACAACTTTTCGTCAAAAAGTATTTTTGGAGCTTCTCTAATTCACCGTATTTCTTTTGTTACAGAGGCAAAGGAGTCGTAACTGGAATGCTCAAAACTGGCAAAAAGAGTCTGTACGTTTTCGATCGTGATGGGCAGCATCATCACGTGTCACCGCCTTGTGTTCTCGATTTTTACGTACACGAGTCCAGGCAGCGAACGGGTCTAGGCAAACAACTTTTTGAGCACATGTTAAAGGTAAAGCAGCCCAATCTTTCAACATTTTCGCATTTTAAACAAGCGCGCGCCCGCATTACCCATAATTAGTCACGACGAGAAATTAATTACCGCCGAGGGGTGCCTACAGGTGCAAAGGGCACCAGGCGAAATTATTTCTGCACGACACGTCGCTCCAGTGTAAACCCTATCTTCGCGTGCTGTGGGCAATGATTGTTTTAAAACAGATTTTAAATTAAAGCAATAAAAGTTCCCTAACTCGCGACCTCTAAGCTACTTATGATGGCAAGGATACTGTGGTACGGATTCGTTCTTCTACGACGATCGAGTTTTATGGACCCTCATTTTTAGTGATGTATGGCACGCTACAGTTTATTTGTTCATCGCGATTGATCTGAATGGATTTTTTCGAAAATGTAACCATTCTGTCAAAGTGAGATTTAAGATGAGGAACACATCATTTTTGTGTAATCTTCCTAGCCATGAAAAAAGACGAAAAGCACTAGTTTTTAACTCTCAGGCAGCTTTAGCATTTAGGGTGGATTTATACAATCATTAAGTCACTATCATGAGATCATTAAGAAATAAATAACCAATAGAACAAAGGCTTATTGTGCGTCGGTAATCAACGAAACCATACAGTGTTTTCTATAGGCTATTTTTTAATGATAGTGAACTAATGATAATGTTTTTATAAACTCACCATTATTTATTTATTTTTTTTAATTTATTTATTATCCCTTTCTTGTTCTGTTGCGCCCAATTACAGAGTGACCCGCATAACGCTTTTTAGAGGTCCTCTGCAGAAGGACTTAAGTTGTTCTATCCTATCCTGAGTAAGTGTTTCTAATTGTGGTAGCGGTTTGAATGCGCCAACCAAATGGCATCCCTATTCGATATTTCATTGTTTCCATATACATAGGGATTTCCTATGTCTACTTTTAAATGACAAAAATCCTTCTGAAAGACGCCTAATTTTATACAACCGAAATAACATACGCACGCATTATGTATTGACATTCTAGATTTTTTTAATAAAAACGACTGTAATCGTATGCTTTTACGTTATGATGAAGAGATATTAAATTCGGTCGTTATTTCCCTTAAGTTTCTTATTGGATTCTCTCCGTTAAAATTGAAAGTTGTTTACGATGTCTTGTGTGGATCGCATTTTTCTCATTTAAAACTGGACATAGGAAATCCCTATGTCTACTTCTAAATGAATATCACTGTATAGTCCGTCAGGCTCTTATGGCAAATGTATTAGAATATGATTTGTAGAAAAAGGGCAGCCCGGGTTCGATTCCCGGCCGATGCAGATTTTTTTAACTTTATATATTATTTAGCATTTCTATATTTCGCCAGAAAAATCATGATCGTTGATGTAGCAGGTCCACAAGCCCGCAGAATCTGCTATACTTCTATATAAAATGAATGTATGTCTGTCTGTATGTTTCTTTTATACCTTCCTAAACCGTTCATCCGATGGCAAACTGGTTGGGCGCAAAAAAACACTTTCGCACGTGAACGGGAAAAACGAAATTTTACGTGTTACAGTCGAAACTCCAGCAGATAGAGACTTGATATTTAGAACGTAGGTTTCTTTGAAGGAGTAAAGGTGTACTCCGAAAGAACATCCCAAAATTACGGGAACGACTGAAAAAATAGTATGAAATATCACAATAGTGTTAATACTGAAGCGTTTTATGGAATTATAATATAAAAGGTGTCCCAAAATGCACGCAAGAAGTAATTTTGAGTAGAAAACAGGTTAATGAATGAATGAATGAATTATGTATGGTATAGCATATCGGGCAAGTGCTCGCCACGACTTTGTTGGCATATATGACCTCTTTTGATGAAATTTCACATAACCGTTTGATATAAATGTGGCTGAATTCAATTACCTCGCCTCGCTCCCAGAATTCCCTCGGACGTGAGGCGATCCAATCTCAGACCAAACCAGATCATTTTGGACCAGAGACCGCAAATCTTGATCTATACCTCACTTTGATTGAGGAACGTTGTGATTGAGAAAAAGAAAATTGGCTTTGTGGGCATCCATTACTTGGGGTGATTATTTATTATATGTACGTTAAAAAAAATCGATTGCGCATGCGCACACCTAACTTTTTCACTATGGATGAATTTTTCTGAAATTTGAAGCAAAAGTACGATTCTTACAAAAATAAATTAAACGAAAAGTAGACTGTAAAACCCTAATATTCTGAACATTTAGCGGGAGAAGCAAATTCAAATACGTGTCAAAAAAATAGGTTGCGCATGCGCGGCACATAACTCTTGTTTGTGGACCTTTTTTTCTGAAATTTTAACTGGAGATTCTTTCTATACAAAGTGTTGTGGGCTGACTATATGCAGCCGGCGTCTACCATTAGAAATAACAAAAACCGAAAGAAATATATCTCTTAAAGTGGTTCACTGAGATACAGCATCAGGTATAAAAACCAGAAATTTTTGAGCGCGTGAGGCAATCCATGATCCGACGAGCGTAAGTGTGTGTTGCTGCCTACGAAGGTCACTTTAAAATCTTGGGCACGAAAATAAAAATTTGATATGAGAAACTATCCGGGTCGCACAAAGGGTTTGCATAAAAACAATTAATTGATTGACAATAACGAACATTTATTCCAATACACATGAAACAAAATCCATGAAAGAAAGAAAAGTTCGCTTGTGCTTGTTTAGACATAATACCCTGCACGCAGGTGGTCGATAATTAAAAATTTACTTGCAATTTTTTTTCTTTAATAATGTAAATAATTTGGCCATGAAAGGGTTGCGATATTCAGGCGCACTTAACAATAACACTCACTGATATCTTCAGGAAACTTCACTTCGTTAATAAACTGAACTCAATAACTCGAATTGACTTGATAAGTAACTTTTTTGCAACCTTTTGATGAAGGTATACAGCCCGAATAAAGCGATTTTTTTAAACTTTTAACGCGTGATTCTGTCTCTAGTCTCTATGGCATTTGGCAACAATCTTTGCTATCAGGACAATTATTTTAATCAAATCTTGTATACCTGCATTATTTGTCAATGGTGACGCATAAAATTGTAATTATCATTTAGTCTTTGCAATTTGTATCGCTGTCTTTTTATTAATTTAAGCCATTTCACTCAGCGCCGGATTAAGCTAAAATGCGCCCAGGGGCATTTTCATAGACGCGCCCCACACGCACACCCATCTCCCAACTCACCTAACCATGCATAGTACCTTTACAAAAAAATTAATACAGCGAAAATATTTAAATTTATATTTTTTTGCACATTTATTGTGATAGGGGAGTAATAAACAAGTTATCAATTACACAATCACAAGATCGTAAATTTTTATTGAAAACATCACAAATCATTCAAAATCATACATTGAACTACTTTTCTCTTGTTTGACAATAGTATATTGAAAGACAAGTGTTACAATGCGACCTATTGTAATACGACTATTTTGTGGCACGAGTGGCGTAGCGAAGCGGAGCCACGAGTGTCCACAAGATAGGAGTATTACAATAAAGCATTGTAACACGTGTTTTTCATACTATTTTTTCTATTTCGGGGCTTTAATTTAATTAAAAAGTAATTATGAAAAACTACAGGAAACTTTAGAATTAATATGTCTTAAGTTGGCAACACCATTTACGTTGACAAATTTTAAGTTGGCGGCGTAGATAAACATAACATTGACATTTGGAAACTTTAAATTCCGTGAATGTGTAATTTTTTATTCGTAGATAAATTTATTTATGGTGGATGTGTAAACTGCTGATTTGGAATGTATTAAGTTCTTCGTGTACCAAAAATCAAGGAAAACACATAAATTTTACGTAATTTGATTTCACATGCATCTGATGATTTGACGTTGACGTCTTGGCGAACTGCCAACTTAGAGATGAAAAGTTACCAAAAACAATGTTACCAATGGAACTCATTGAAACACTGTTTTTGTCGAAAACAGTTGCACAAAATTCTCATTGTAACACCGAAATAGAAAAAAATCTTTCTATTATCACATCTGTATCTAAAGTAATACGGTTTCATACGGAAATATGTTTTCGGAACTCTCAGTTTCAGATTCATTTTTTGTATGATCCTGATCCGCTGCGAAATACCCATGCTAAGTATAATAAACAAATAGGAAAAAGACATACCTTTTAAATGAGTTTGATCTACACCAGCTTCAACTACATTATCAGGATTATTAGCAGCAACACCATCTCCCAGGATGGCTGCTGTTGATGTTGAATTTGAAGGAGCCCCTGCATCCTCGTTTGAAAAGAAAGCACTTAACCATTGAATAAAACTTAACGTAGGCACTTTAACAAGAAATTTTTCTAATTTATCACGTTTGTCTTTTGCAAGTTTACGCCGTTTAGCACCACTCATATTATGCAAACTCATTTCGCTAGCCGTTGATTTAGCTCGGACTATATGTCTATAAATTTTAGAACTTTTAGAACCAAATTATAATTCCACGACTGTACCGGTACCTACGCGTTAAAACTTTAAAAGAACGAAAAGGACGAATTGGTTGCCATGTAGAGTGATGTGATGTAGGACTTATAAAATAATTCTAACTCGCTGTGTAAGAAGAAAGTCGAATGTATTGCTTATTTCGTCGGTCATTTTCAAAACAAAAGCGCATTCATTCGCTTTTGGCGACATTTGATACATAATACCTACGTGTTATTTTTTATAAATGAGTCATGTATGTGTGCTGAGCGTGCGAGACTAGTCAGTAGCCAGGTTTAAATTTCAAGTTTTGTTTAATATTTAATAAGAATTGATATGACTGATATTTAAATGTTTGTTAGCTACCTAATATAGTAACACTATTTGTTCCAAATGTTGCGCCCCTTTTCAAAATGCGCCCTGGGGCAAGTGCCCCATTGTTAATCCGGCGCTGATTTCACTTTATATGCAAATTTTTAAATTAAGGGTTTTGAAACGTGCCGATTCATCTAAGTTTGCTTTATAATCTTAATCACTTTTATGTACAC